TTTTTTCAAGATCACATGCTAGAGAAATCCAATATACAACTAATTCTTCTCTGGTTAAGATAGATTATTCAATTTAAAATTGATGCATCATATATTAAAAAATAATTATTATATAGGTAGAAAAAATTGTTATTTAGTTCTTTTCTACTGCAATAATAAGTTTATAAATATTTTATTGTATTGCAGCCTAATTAAACAAACAATAGGATGTCTTAAGAAATGAATTGAAATTAGCATATAATGAAGAAATTTGCACACTATAATTTATGATTGTTAATATCAATCTTAAATCATCAAACATACAGTTTTTAACCACTAAATAATTAAAAAGTAATCACTTACATTTTTTCAGTTTAATTTCTTCAATTATTTTAATTTCATCCCATAAACCTACTTTTTAACCATTTTTATATTCTCCTTAATGAACAATCTGTTGAAGCCTAATCAATTAAACTCAAAAAACGTTTAAAAATCATTGCCAATGTCCACCCAACTCCCATTCTTCAAATTTTCACCATCATAAAATCCTCCACCACTAGAAATATAATACAAGTCACATATTATTAAACGACTTTTAAAATGATTCTCGAAATTAGATATCCTACCTTCCAATTTTTTTTCCATTCTAATATTCACCTTAATATAGAATCTCTCTCTAACTATTTAATATTTAATTAATTTAAAACTGATAGAAACGTTCACATTATTCTATCCATTTACCAATTTTCAGACCTTAATCATTGTATAATCCACCACCTCTAAAAATTATTTTTCGATTTATAATTGTTTACATTATATTGATTTTATCACTATGAATCCTTTTGTATTTAATTTCCCATTTCCCAATTTTCTAGTTTTTCTGATATCTACTCTTTTATAACATTAATAAACTTCGAAAAATTATCGCTCAATTCAAGCCAGGTTCCATCCCTTTAGCCCGTCATCATCATATTTTCCATAACCACTAGATTGTTTACTTGTGCACTTATTTACATTTTTTTTTTAGTCATGTATTTTCC